TACTACGTACACGTACACTACACACACACACACACACACACACACACATATATATATATATAATAATACTACTACTACTATAACTAACTAACTAACTAATATATATATATATATACTATATATATATATATATATATATATATATATATATATATACATACACATGTATATATATATATCACTACTTAGTGCTACAGATATATAACACCATGTAGTACTTTAAGATAGGGCAGAACCTAGGCAGCACCACGAAGCCTCGCTGAAACAATCGGTAAGAAAAGCACACGCCTATCTCCATAACGCATACACTGAGGTGGTCAGGACTACCTTGCTCAGCGTACGATTTGGAAATGCCTTTCTCACTAGTGGGAACATGTATATGCTTCCAACCATAATTAGAGATTTGTGTCGAGTTGCGAAACGCGCAATTCTATATTGTTCTTAAAACCTCGACAGCAATAAAGGCTACTAAACTAAGAAAACTGATACAAAAGACTGCAACGAATTAACAAAACTCTACATAGAAATGTCAGTGATTAATTGCCTTGCTCGCGCGGTTAGTAACATTAATTCGCCTTCCACAGACATTCGTGATCTGTGTCGATTTGCATAGGGCGCACTTGCATACTGTTCGTGTATGTGCGATAGCGATAGAAACTGCGGCTGGCTCACAGCACCGATACACGAGACTGGCACGAAAGCACAGATCAACCACAACAACACTCTACATAAAGACGTCAGTGCTGCACTACCTTGCTCAGCGTGCGGTCTATCAACGCCTTCGGCACCTGCGCCTCTCTACACCGCTGCATGGCGTTCTTGAATCGGTCATCGTCTTTGTTGTTATTGCTATCTGCGGCAAACGGAGACATGTACGTTAACAGACGACGAGTTCAGTGGTGTTTGTCATGCAACTCTGTCTGTCAGGCGAACGACGGTATGTTCAAACATAGACACAGCACTGATACGTTATTCAAGTGGTGCGGGACGGGGTGTTGGTGGCAGATGTGGCGCAATCTGATTGTCTAGAGATGAGTTGGTGCTCAGGCTCATCACTCGGAACAGCAATACACGTGCGATAGCCACATATAATTTAAGATAGGAAGCGGTCTGTATCATTTTCAGATATGTGATGGATGGCCTTACGGTGTCCACACGTTTATAAATTTGAAAGTAAGTATCTATAGCTATGTGGATAAAGGTCTGGGGCACGTCTAGGCTTAAATAAAGCGGAGCAAACCGTCACTTGACATAGGCCAGAATACCTTTCATGGCGAGACTCAGCTGCTTGGTGAGTTTGGAGAAGATAGTACCTCTCTTGAAATCCGTCATTGCCTTGTCTCGTTTTATTTTGGACCTGCGATGAATCCGGTCCAAAGTAAAACACAACTATAAGTATAGGTGCCGTGTTGCATAGAGTATATGCCATTCATACCCGAGGCACTAACAACACAGGGTTCGAATTGGCGACCACGAATCGATGCTACAATAAGATATATCGTGCGGTTGTATGTCATTGAGGAGGGGGACATCAGTCGATATCTTGGCTAGAGAAATACAGCGATAGTGTCGAAAGGATCAGTACTAACACTTGGCCCTGGAGAGCACCCAGCGACACTCGACAACTAAAAATAGCACGCATGTTGCTTGCTGTACCCCAATGCTCATGAAGTCGGGGGCGACCTACCATTTGTTATGACCAGCATGTCGGCGAAAACAGTCAGAGAGCACTTGACGACGCGTAGTCGGTAGCGACTGATAGGCGATAACAGTAATAGAACGACTGTTAGGACAAGCTGCTACTTGGATCAATAGAGAAGTGATTGAACGAGAAGCATGTATTTTTAATATGAAATACTGAGTAAACGATCAGAATATATGTCGGGATAAACGGCTAATTAAAATCAATACCATAGCGATTAGATGGGAAATATGTGTATTCTATCAGATGCTGATTACACATTCGGTATATGCATGAAGAAACTATACTTGCTGTTTCTTCATCAGATGCTATATTCAAATGCCGATATTACTAGTCGGGACCTTTAGATATTATGTCGGGTTCTTCGTACACGATCGAAAAAATTGTTAGAAAAAACGGGTACTCGAAAACCAATGGTGTTGTTGTTATTTATACGAAAGGTATGAATATAATAACAGGTGCAGAGTACGCGATCAACAATGATACTAAGAAAAAAAATAATACTCGGACTCAATGCTGATGTGATTTTCAACAAAATTTGCTTGTATCATTTCAGACATGATAACTCAAGTACATTTCATCTACACAGATGTAGCAATTGATGAAATTTCATGATAATGTGTTGGCACTGAGATACACGCTCTTCTGCTATCGATATACCCATGGCCGTGCTACTCATATCAGTACAGACACTTAAATAGTCAGGAGATCCTTCACAATTCCTACACGTTGCCACTTAACGTACTCATGCACGATGAGTGTATATTCATTTATCCTTGGATACCTGCAATGATTCAAGTCTGATAACGCTCTCATCACTTACTTACCAACCCAAAGCTACGGCTGCGAAGCATATCGATGCTTCTAAATACCTAGCTCAAACTACAGCTTCAGAGCACACGGGAACGCAAACGCGCTTAAAAGCGTATAACGCAAGTAAAGAAGATTCCTAGTTGCAGTCTGAAATAAATAGTTAAATACACCCCGGTGTTATGTAGTGACTGTTTGAGTGTATGTGTACACATAAAGAGTAATTATCGGGGACTGAAAGCGCGCCAATTGAAAGAATGCTTTGACCTGCCATTTTGCCTGGTAAGTGGTAACTGGTAGCCCTGTGGTCTGTCCCAGCCCCCATGGCCCATGGTCCTGGACTCCAGGGCCCAGGCCCCAGGGTTTGTATTTAGGATGCCAATTGGCTGATCTGGTATGCGACAACGACACGTCGCAATGAAATTGGTGTCGTTTATCAAAACGACATGTCGCATCGAAACTGATCGTTTAGGTAAACGACATGTCGCATTCATAATTGACATGTGTCGCACTCATAAACGACGTGTCGCAGATGAAAGCAACATGTCGGTTGACGGCTATGGTGTGACGGTTAGTACTATTAGTGTTTGGAGACAGTAGAGATGTCAATTTTGTGGTGTGACGGTTGGTACTTTTGTCCTTGAAGTAACTGGCAGAAGGGCACGACTGTTTTGTCATTGTATCCGATGTTAAAGTTGAAGAAACACTGACGTAATGATACTATGATAGACTGTGCTATACACTTAATAACTATAGAATAATCACACCGCATAGCTATTATCGATATACTAAAAATACTAATTTAGTATTTATTAGTTTCTAAATATTTATTGTCTGGATGTCAGCAAGGCCAAGTAGCAACTGAAACTCGACATACTAGCCCGCCCAACAAATAAAGGCGGTCGAAAACGCAAACGTGATATGATTAGCTGTCTTTAATATACGGGAATATCATTGAATCGATGTTAAATGTTAAGATTAGGAACATATGATTGGTCACCAAAAAACGAAAATATGGTCTGTCGAAATGATCAAATACGACCATTGCGACCAATGCGACCAATGCGACAACGACACGTCGCGTTAATATCGATGTCGTTTTCTAAAACGACACGTAGATCAGCCAATTGGGGCATGGACTTTTTCTTGTATATTGGCATAGCCTTTTGAAAATGGAACATATGATTTTCGAGGGTTATAATTGGTGTATTTATAAAAGCCAAAGTTCAAACTGAGTCTCTGCTAAATTTACGATTGTCCGCGACGACATTTCTGAATAATGTAAATAGTAAATACACATATTTATGTATAAATAAAGCATATAGATACATTCCAAAGTGACATTCCGAAGTGCATTTTCTTTGCGGAGCGATATGGCTGGTGATCTTCTAACCCGCCTAATCGCGTTTTCTGAACTTTTAACACTAGCTGGGGTGTACTTTAGCTCGGCAAGTCCAATAGTGCTGGTTTGGCAGTATTACGCAGGAAACGAATTAATCAGTTACACATTTCTGTACCTTGGGACTATATGCTGCTGTCTTTTATCCTGGCTTCTTTATACATCCTATTGTCCCGCAGGCCTCTTAGTTAGCCCGGTAAAAGGCCCAGGACCGTCTCACGATAGCACCACAACCAATGCGCAAGAGAACCCCCACGTTGTCATCGTGGGAACCGGTTTCGGTGGTTTGTGTATGGCACTGAAGTTAAAAGCTCTAGGTGTCTCTTTTACCATCACCGAGAAAGAAAGCAAAATAGGAGGGACGTGGGCTGTGAATACCTACCCTGGTGCTGCCTGTGACGTACCTTCTGGCAAGCTTGTATGGTTTGCAGTATATCTGTGTGTGTTTGTGTATATGTATGTGTACGTATGTGTATGTGTGTGTGTACGAGTATGTGTGTGTGTGCGTATGTGGGCGTTTGTGGGTTGTGTATTTGTGTGTACATGTGTGTGCGATTGTGTATGCGTATGTATATATGTATCTTCGTATTCGTATTTATAAAATTATAGATCACTTGATTAAATATTCCTGACGATTCCGGTTGTGTGGAGAACACATATGTCAAAGGTGTGTCGTTGTAAAGATGTCAGTTAAAGTCAGACCCGGTTATTAGTCACCTGGTTAACTGGTCAACCTAGATAGTGGTCCGGAAAATTTCAGACATGGGCCTGTATTTTTTCACACATGAGTTTTAACTTCTGATAAGCTAAAGCATCGAGTGATTGGTTTTAATTACACTTCGAGGTCAAAGAATATGTATAGAGCAAACTGTGTGAGTTTATGAGTTAATTGAGTTTGCATTTGATCCCTTCTTGTACGTACATTCATATATACATCCAACCACCCATCCGCAATGGTGATAAACGCACACACTACTTTTAGTATCGCTCAGCCCATACATACATACATACATATA